TCCCATCTACTTCAAAGGCCCTTTTGGGAGCCAGTGAAATCATACGCACAGATTTCACTGACTGTATAAGGAAATGCTGAGCTTCAAATCCCTTTTTGATGTCTATGAAGCAGATAGATCACCGCAAAGCGGTCATTAGTCAGCGATAGCAAGCCGCTCTCGAGCTGACATTTAGAAGACCACTTATTCTGTGTTCTTGCAAATGACTTTGGTTGCCAATATAGTAACAGGGCCAATTTCTCAGGGTCAATGGTCACATGGAGAACAAGTGACATGTGACTTTTGATATAGGTTCCGTCACCCCTGTCAGTCAGCCCTGTTGTTTCTCAACTATCTCATACAGTGTTTTGCAGCCGTGTCTCACAAGGCATCCTGTCTGATTTCTGATTTACAGAGTCAAGGCAATCATTTTGGCCATGAGTGCAGTCCCGAGAGATCTGTGAGCTAATTCAAGAGCACTTGGAAAGGACCTTGCCTCAGGAACCCCAAACACTTTGGAAGAGAAGAAAATCGAGGATGAAAAAAGCAATTGATAACTGCTTCGAAAAGATTCATCACTGTATGACCGCTAAGATGAAACTCCAAAATTATGGACATCTTGCTTTCTGAGCCCCACTTCTGAGAGGCTTGAGGTGTTGTTCACAGAGACCAAGGCACAATCAAGACTCCACTCTCCCCATTTGGAAGTAAGGCATGAAAATGTCATGTCAATGGTGATGGTTGCTTGGAGCTAGAGCAGGCTGTGACGTTTGTTCCATCCATCCCAGATGGCAGTTTCATCTCTTTGCTCACCTTTTGTTACTAAGAGTAAAAGCTGATTCACTCTGTAGGGACGGCCCAGAGGACTGGCAAGATGTGTTAGGTCTACTCTGTGGCTTTAAGCACACTTATGCACAGTCCCAGTTTTGATCTCTTTCCAGTGTTAGTCTCAAAAGATAGACAAGATCTCCGCTATTTCTTGGAGTTCTGATAGCCTGAAAAACTAAAATTCTTCCTACTGTACTCCATTAACTTGGCCAGAACCAATAGCCATGGATAGCATGGAGAGAGTCATTTGGGACCTCTCCTTTCTCCCCTCTGGAATGGAAATGATAGCTATGCTATAGGGTCCTTGGGAACATTAGATATGATACATGCCAAGCTGTTAAGAATGTGTTTGGGACCACCGTATGCCTACAAGTGGACCTTGAGCCCAAATTAAAAAAGTCAGCTGCCCTCATACCCCATGTCCCAAATTCTAGGCATCTTCATGGTATGGGCACATGGTCCCTGGCCTACTGTTGATTGTCTCAGGCACCTGAAGCAAGCACAACATCTAGACATGTATAAATATTAGAATAATGTTTTTATTCTGCCTAGTGGTCATGTGGAAAGTCTATCAAGTTTTCTGTTCCTTCCAGCCTGGAACCCTGCAACCATGACCTACGGTTTGCTTCAGGTATCTGAGAAAAAGCCCACAGGAGCGCTACCCTGCCAGGTAGTGATGACACACATCTTTAATCTCAACCCTGAGGAGCCAAAGACAGACAGATATTATCTATGAGTTTGAGGCTAGCCTGGTCTACAGAGCGAGTTCCAGGACAGGCTCCAAAGCTACAGAGAAACGCTGTCTGAGAAAATCAACGAAAAGAAGAGTGCTATCCTCCAAACAGCTGATTGGCAGGGCACGGTGGCACATGCTTTTAATCCCAGCATTTGAGAGGCAGGTTTGTCTGGAGCTCTATGACCAGCCTGATCTACGTAGTGAGGTCTAGGCCAGCTAGAGTGATGTAGTGAGACCCTGTCTCAAAAACAAAACCAAGTTACCTCTTTGTCCACTGTGCTTGAGCTTTTAAATGATTTCTCCATCTCTGTGGTGGCAGAGGAGAGAATACAGGAGATGGGAGACCTGGAGCCTAGAGTCAACAAGAGTTGATAATGTTGGTTTGTTTGCAGAAGCAGTGGAGACAAATGAGCTTCCATCTGCTCCAGCAATGCCTCGACATGATGCAGGCTGGCAGCTCTAGGAACGTCTCTAACTTGTTCGTCGTTCTCATCCTCTGAAGAATTTGCAGAAAAAAAAATCAGAAAATTCCATTTGTTTTTTCCTATTTAATGAGGTCGAGCATTCTTAAGAAATGAAGGGGGCAGCTCCGGTGCAGCTTTAATTAGCTGCAGGAGCCCTTGCTCCAAACGAGCCTTGTCCCCAGCGCTGCTAGCTCTCTGTTCTGAAAGAGATGGAAACTCAATTGCCTTTTGCCTAGTCAAGTCCCCCAGCATCAAGGCCACATGGAGAAAAGTCCCCCAGCAGAATGCCAGAATTTGTACAAAGACCTTGAAGAAAGTCAATTTTGATCAAATTTGGTGGTGTTTTTGGAGAGCCAACATGTGACAGTGAGCTTGGGTCAGTTTCTCCAAATCAATAGCAGTAAAAATAAGGACTTTGGAGTCAAATAGACCCTGAGTGATACATTGCTTTCTCATCTGAGTGGCTGTGTGAGTTAATTTAGGACTGGTAAGTTCTATCCCCACATTGGTGATATAGAAACCCGTGTCTACCTCCTAGGGTGGTTGAAAGGAGTAAAGGGATCTTTAAGCGCGCCCCAATGCCTCTTCCCTTTCCTTTCAATAGCAAGACCAGGCGAGCCTCTCTGCTCTGCTCCCAGGGTTGAGCAATGGCCCAAAGGGATACTGTGATACAAAGATCAGAACTTTGTTTCCTGGCTTTCTAACCTGGGGCCCTGCTCCCTTTCTGGCTGTATGACCATGGGCAAGACCCAGGGCCTCTTTGTCTATTTGCATTCAAAGAGAGAGTAATGTGAGTGGATTCTCTATAGGATTACCGGCAGGTCTAAATTAGAAAGTGCACAAAAAGCCCTTGCCTAGTGCCTGGCGCATGGTAAATGCACAATAAATTATTAGTTAATAACGGCAGCAATAACATTTGAGAGTGCATTGTAAAACTTAAAAATCCTCTACGACGTCCATCTTCAATCCTTTTTGGAAAGAATGCGTCAATGTTAGCAGTGCTTATGTAAATGTAAGTGGTTATTATTTATGTAGGAGAACATTACTGGGTATTATTCAGGAAGAGGGAGAGAACAATGTAGAGGAAGAGAAAAAATTTATGACAGGCTTCTTGGAGGAAAGAGGAACACAGGACATCTCACCCATCAGCACAGAAGCAGGCGGCCGACTGAATCAGGGAGCCCCAACTGCAGGCTTAATCAGTAGTCTCCTTAAAAAGAGAAATGGGGATGAAAAACCACATTCTGCTGCCTCTAAAATTAACCCTAAAGCTGTATTTTTTAAACAGAAACTCACTAAACACGCAGTCCCAGGGAGGCAAATGAGCAGCTCTGCCTTCAGGGAGTGTGCACTATCACAAGGACCGGACAATAAAGACCCTGACAACCTACTGAAGGCAGAGAGGGGGCTTTAGAAATCCTTCCCACCACTAGTTGAAGGCTTTTTTATGAGATTTCCTTTGTTTATTATGTCATCTAATTTTTCTATAAAGAACACTGGTCAGTTGACATCACAAAACGAGTTATATGCAAGGGGTATTAAAAAATGGACATAGAAATTTTGATAAAATTTCTCAAAGGAGATGCCAATAGCAAACATTAGAATCATTACTGGACTGAGCATGAGATTCACCCTTGAGTCTCCTAGAAGTCAGGGCAAAATAAGAAACCCATCCCTACAATTTAACATTTCATAAATATGCCCTTGACCTCTAATGCAGTAGACAAAAATCCAGATTAGGTCTTACTTGTGTTTTCTGTTCAGTGAACACCTGTAAAAGGCATGTTATATGTGCCTATGAAGTCATGGGTAATGTAAGGAGGCATATTCTTTCGTTCATTTGTTTTGTTTTTGTTTTTTGGGGGTTTGGGTTGGTTTTTTTTTTTTTTTTTTGACATGTGGTTTCTCTTTGTAGCCCTGGCTGCCCTGGAAGTAACTGTGTAGACCGGGCTGGTCTCAAACTCAGGCATCCTCCTGCCTCTGCCTCCCAACTGCTGGAATTTAAGGCATGTGTCACCACTGCTCAGGCAAGGCCTTATATTGTTTGAAAGCACCTGTAAAAAAAAAAATCACTAAACTTCTGTTGATGCCACTGCTTCTCATTTTTGTGGTGGCTGCAACTGGGTCCGCTCGTGTCGATGAGGTAAGTGCACATAGAACCTAAGATCTGAACAACCTTCAAACCATTATGCCTGGCCTCCTAATTTTGTTTTCAACAAGGATTTGATCGGGGCTCTGGTCTGTCTCAGGACTCTCTCTGGTTAACTGCTGCTGTTCTTAGGTCGTCCCCACTTAGAGAGGCGGGAGGCAGTGAGGAGAATTAGCCAATTGTCTAGAAAACCAAAGCTGCCTGCTGGCATGGATACCTGCTTCTGAGAATCACCCTGACTTCTGCATGCCACTGACTAAGAAAGGAAGGAAGGAAGTGATAGCGTTAAGAACCTAGGTTGGGGCGGGCTGCGGTGAAGCCCAGCTGTTATTGTGCTGGCGAATTTCTGACCTATTGTTATGTCTTCTATAAATCTGGAAGAACCGAGTCTGCAAACCTTTTTCGAAGTCTATATTTTAGCCTTTTAAAAAATATCATCCTTGACACGTTCGGGAGCTTGATCAAGGAGGAAGAGTTAGAGAGAAACAAACACAGGATGAAAAGTGGAAGGAGGTAAAAAGGAGTGGGGAGAAATGCGAACCAGGGAGAGGGACCAAACCAGTGTAGCATCGGGCTTCCTCCGACAGGGCCCCTGAACGTGACAGGAAGCCATCACTAGGCCTGGGCTGGACAGCCAGCCTCCCTGCACGTGCCGGCCAATGCTGTACACATCTGTTCAGCACATTTGGCCCCTGCTCACTGACCAGCTGCTGGCTCCGAATCAGAAGGGGCAGGTGGGAGTCCTGGGCAGGGGCAGGAAGGAGAGAGGGGATTATGCACAGCTGTTCCTCACAGGGAATGAAGAGGCAGCCCTAAGAATGAGGCTGGGAGGGGTCCTGCTCTGGAGCAGCAGAGCAGGAAACCCACAATGGTGGTGGGCCTGGTGCTAATCGCTCGCAGTGGCAGGTGAAGCCGACGACGCTTGAGGTGGGGGGTTGCATACAAGGCATGCCAGGTTTGGGCTGTTTCCTATGCTTTCTGGGGCCCCTTCTTGTTACCCCCAACACCGAGTCTGGGGGGGAATTACTGACTAGGCAGCGCATTGCTACCTTTGAAGTTAAACAATTTATCTCCCATCGCCAGCAATGCTTTTGCACTATTTCAAGGCTCACAAGGATCTCTGAGCTGCTCAGATTCTCCTCATTAGCCAGAGAAAATATTGGAAGGACCAGGCCTGCCCGCCAAACACGGGCCCTAGGAAGAGGAAGGGATACTCCTGAAGCCACATGCTCAGCAAGTGGAAGAAGCCAGAGCAAGCACTGGCTCCTCTACCCCAGCACCATTTGATCTCCCCAGATTTCAACTGTGAGCCACGATGTTGAGCTGTGAGCAGTAAATTCACTTACTAAGGAGAGCCATCTTAGTGGGCCATCTTAGAAACTCATTCCACAGAAGCATGCTGCCTCCTTGGGAGGCTTGCCCGCTGGGGGATCCCTCTCAAAGTCTCTGCCCATCTGAGTGGCCACCCCCGAAAGAGATCATTCAAGTCACTTCTGCGGTGTTGACAACCTTGCAAGTTCATCCGCTCTGCCTCTGAGCGCTCCTTTCCCATTGCTGGTGTCCCATGTGCTACAGTAGGCAATGCTCCACATTTCAGCTCCAGCTGGTCAATTGTTCTGTCCTCGGGAGCAGCGACATCTGTTTACTTCATTCTCAGCAGCCAGAAGGTCATGTTTACTGCTGGGTCATTTCCAGTAGCCAGAGGGTCAAAGCCAAGTGGCAAAGAACTACCAACATTTACCTCAAATTTTTCTTTCATTGTTTCAGTTTTCTTTTAACTTTGAGTGCATGTGTGCTTTGCCTGTGTATCTCTGTACCATGTGCATTCCTGATGCCCAAGGAGACCAGAAGAGGGCCACAGACCCACTGGAACTGGAGTGACAGTGGTGAGTCACCATGCGGGTGCTGGGCGTTGAAACTGGGTCCTCTGAAAGAGTAAACTTCAATCTCAAATTTAAAACATCATTCCGTGAGCTTCAACGATACAGGCTCAGACTTTGCAGAGTGTCAGAGATTCATGCCTGTCCCCTGACACATATTTAAAACGAGGACACTGCCACCATTCATACCCGGAGCGAGCTGTCGGGAAAGAAATCCCCACCTGGTATAACCGGCACAGATTTTGGCCACAAGCGTCACATGATCAGAGGTTTATGGAGAATGATAGTGGGGTTTTCCCTTTGTGGCCTTGGGGGTGGAGGGGTTGGGGGGGCGGAGGGGTCGGGGGGTGGGGAGTATCTGCTATTTATCACAACATCCCGCCACCAAAGGCTTCACTAAGTTTTCTTTTTTTGAGAGCCTAAGTTCCTCTTGTTCCTCTGAAACTCAACACGCAAAACATGGAAAAGCAGAGATTATACATTTCTTATCGACAGAAGAGGAAATCTCCTTAAAGGGCTTCCAGGTTCTTCCCAGAGCCGAGCCTTTTTCTCAGCCTCCTCCTGGAAGCTGCTGGCCTTCCCAGGACTTCATGGCCTTCTCTCTATCTTTCTGGCTCTCTCCTATAGCTCGGGTCCTCGCCATGGAGTTTCTACTTCGGCGTACCGCTTTCCCAATACCTAGCTCACCTGGATCCCCATCTGTAAAACTACTGCTCTACTTCCCCCTCCTTCAGTTTTCATGCCTTACACTGCAGACAGCTGTGACGGGCCTCCACGATACCATGGAACGATGCCTGGCCACAGGATTCACATTAACAAGGTACACCTGAGCAATTTCAAGGCAGCTTCCTAGACTATATTTTGTCTCAAAGCACTGTAGACGCAACATGTGTATCTGGAGTCATTCTACCTTGGTCCCTATCTCGGAAATTCAACTGCTTCGGCAAGAACTTCGTTTTTTGACTGGCTGACGTCTAGAGCAATCCTGACTTCATCCTAACTTTGTGCTCAGCTCTACTTCAGGGTGCATGGCCTTGACTTTGTTTTGGGTTAGGAAGAATTTAAGAAGTTGGGCTCAAGTTCCTCCCTTTCTCCCATGCACTCTGAGTCACTGATTTATCTCATCCTGTCTCCAGTCCTGTAAAACCACCAGTTCTCCTTGCCTGAAGTATTTAAGAGGCCAGCCTGGTCCAGCACTTTGCTCCCCAACCCAGCGGGAGAATGGTCACAGACCCCAGGCTTGAATTATCGGTTGCTTCATCTTTATCTGATGAGGTTTCAATCTCCTGGCTTGTCAAACAAGGAAAGTGTCCTTACAGAGGGTCTCTAAGAATTGACATGGATATAGACTCTGAATCACAGAGTATCACATAGCATTGTGTGATGAACACTTGCTACTTTCCTAAGGATGGACATTAATTAGACAAACTGGACACTTGCTGCCAGCTACTGCCTGGCCAATTATCACTTACTGCCGATTCTTCCCGCATGCAAACACACACATGCCTACCAAACTCCCCATCTGAGTCCCCCTCCTCTGCTTTCTCCCACTGAGTCTTTGTATGTCTGTCTGTCCTGACTCTTGACAGGTCTTGTGCTAGGGTTCATTTGTTACCAATTATTGAGAACTGGCTCTTGACACCTCTTCGCAGTGACCAGTAGCTATCATATTGGGAGCTTGAGAGCAGCCACAGTGGGGGGTCATATGCAATACAAAATGAAAATAAAGACAAAAGCAAGAAATTCCCACCCCCACTGTGAATTAGCCACTTGCCCCTCAAGAGCAGTGTGTTTACATTTACAGGATCACAGGTGCAGATAGATATTTGACAGTTTTCTGTCTTATTCGGGCTTGATCATGGGGCCTGAACTTGCAACTCCAATCAAGAGGAGGCCTCAGAACTTACAAACACAGACTAGTCCTGCAATTCAGTGGAAATAATGCTAAATCCTCATCAAGATCTGCAGAGCAACCCTCGGTTTGAGAATGGAACTAGGAATTGGGTTGCCACTAAGTGCTAGAGCATTATGTCTAGCATCTGTGGAGTCCTGAGTTCAATCCCCCAGCACTGAAAAAAGAAACGGAAACATCACAACAGAAGACCAAAAGGCTAATGAATGTACATTAACGTCAGGATTAACCCCACAACTAATAAGATCAAGGCAACACAACCCAAATGCTTCCTCCCACTGACTCTTCCTCCTGGGGATGCATTCTCCAGGGCCAGGTCGTCCCTTAAGCACTGATGGAAATCTCCATCAAAAAGCTCTCGGTGACCGCGTGTTCCATCCATTCCAGGAATGCCTCGGCTCAGCCTTGGAAAAAGCTCCTGCAGTAAAAGCTGTATGGAAGTAGGCAAATCCTTTGCAGATGAAAAGGAAGCCCTGCCTTTCCTTCTCGGTTGGGAGAGCTCCAAACAACACACATGTGCTAAGGTACAAGCACCGTGGGAGCGCAAACCTCGGCTTAATTTGCGGCTCCTGGAGGAGACTGGAGGGAGAGCAGGGGCCTCTCCTCTGTGGTGTTCAGGAAAGGCTCACTGGACTGAGGACCGTGGTGGGAGTGTTCAAGAGGCCACACTTAGTGCCAGTGCCAGGCCACACTTACTAGCCAGTCCTCCCGGAGAAAAACTTTATTAAAGAAATCAATAGGTGTGCTACCTGTGAGTGGTGGGACGGTGGGAATGACATCCTGGAAAGCAGCTGCGTCTGCCTGGAAACCTACAACTCCTGGAAGGCGTTTCTGTGTCTGCAGAGACTGATGACCCAATAGGAATTTCAGTACTGTGAAGAGGTTGGAATTTTGTACGTTCAGAGGCTAATGACTCTATCTTGGGCTAGTTTTAACCTTCTGGAACAGCTGCTCCCTGGCTCACCTTGTATCTGACCTAACACCTCATGATAATAAAGAAAAACCTCTTAGAAGCTATTGATTCAGCAGAACTCTAGCTTCTGCCACTCAGAGAGCTAAGAATGTCATCAGGTAGCATCTTGGGGTTAGAAAACAGCTTCCCCATCTTGCTGTCCCCACCTATGGTGTACCCACCAATGTATTTTAAATGTGCCTTGACTCAGGACTGTCTTTGTTCTATAAATCTGAGAACCCTCTGTAACAGCTTCCACAATGGAACACAGAATTTGGGTAACCGAAATCTGTGTTCCACGCCATGGTTACTCAAAATGGTTCCAGAATAAACTGTCTCTTATTCCTTTTAGATGAGAGCTGTGGTCTGTCAGCAGCAGGAAGCGGGGTGGGTCTCCTCCCCAGGAAACATTCTGCTGGGTTTTGAGAGCTGACAGTTCTCTGCTGTCGTGGAACCCTGCCCGTCTGTCATGGGGTTCATGAGTCTTCTCTGAGAAGCTGTTTTTTTTTTTTTTCCTGTCTGTACTTGAAAGATTTCCCCACAGCCCAATCCATGAAAATTCCTACCAGTTAAATCTTAAAGCCCGTGTCTCCCCCCACTGGTTTCTCAAATCCCACCTATTCCCCTCTCTTTGTAACTGTAACTGCTGTGGAATGCTGAACACTTTCTCCCCACCCAACTCCTCCCACAAACCCTGCCTGGACTTGCCATCCCCAGTCCCGGCACGTGGGCAGCTTTCTCTTTGGGAGGGTTTTATGACCATCTCCTCAGAAGTAACGACAGAAAACCAGGACCCGGGAAAAGCACAGAAGTTCCAGGATTCCCCTAGCTGTACCCTTACCTAGGTCTCTCGTTCATACTGCACTGTGACCAGCAAGCTGTTCTTCCGAACTTGCTCCCTTTTTTCCCAGCCTCTCCTCCTGCTGTCAGGTACACTATTGTGCTGAAGCAAGGCCGAGCGTGGGGAGTCAGATTCCCACGGGCCCTCACAGCTTGCAAGTTCCACTTTAGTCCCTTATTTTAGTGATGGTGACCCCCCCCATATGACCTAGGCACTGATGTGACTCTCATCCTTTGGAAGAGGTGGGCCTGGCATAACGACTGGGGTCAGGGGACTGGTCACAGCATCTACACTTTTCTAGAATTGTGTTTATGAGAAAAGCCAACCTACACCCTCACTTCACCTACCCCCCATTCCACCCTGGCAACAGCTTCTGGTCTTGGCAGATGGCCTTCGTCCCCAGCCTTCCAGGGTCCAAGTACACACACCCAACTCTCCTCATTTCTCTTCCCAACTAGTAAGAGAAGATTTACTTCAGAAGCGGTTTGATTCTTCCTTGCTGAATATCTGAATCTAACAACAATCGTCCAACAGCAGGAAAAAACACGATTGTATTGTACTTGCCAATTTAAGCTTCGACTGCCTCACATGGGTTTTTATAATCAGATGGATTTCTTACCCTCTGAATCAGTTATCTCCTGCCACAGGTGGGGGTCAGAAAACAGAGCAGACCAGACCACAGAAAGAACTGCCCAGGTCTGACTGTCCAGTGCTGAGCCTATGTCTATCAGCTGGCTGGAGGAGTCATTTATTCATTCCCTACACACTTAATTCATTCCCTACATTCAATCACATTTATTTATTCCCTGCACACTTAATAATAATGTAACCTGAACTTCAGATGATACTATGAGTCCGTTTTCAATTAGACCATGAGGCCTTTCAGAAAAACACTGATCCCAGCCTGCTGCTGTCTATCTCGTAAGGTTGGCAAGCTCAGCTCACGCCTGTTTGGCCCCCGAGTCTTCATTGTATATGGCGAGTCGAGAGAAAAGTTCAAAGCCACCGATCGACCTTCTTCTGTGTTCAATTCAAGAAACGTAACATGCACAAACCTACAAGAGGTAGCGGGGAGCTCAAAGATGGAGAAGCTGAGGCTTCTTAGGAGGAATCAGGTAACTGCTCGACCTGGTAAGTTACGCAAATGGACGAAGATTTGGAAACACCCCTACTAGAGAGAATACCAATAAACAGGAGCAAGTGAGGCAGGCCTCATGGAGCCGAGCAGCTGTGCTGAGCTGACGTAGGAGTCGGATCTCAGTGGGCCAACAGAGGGGCCAGTTCAGGCTGGGGACATGAGGAGCCATGGCACAGACTGGGACATCCAAGAGTCTCCCGGAGCCGGGCATGCTCATTCGTGACAGCAGCTGATGGAGCAAGCAGGGAGCAAGGGAGATGGGCTGGAAAGGTGCTGTGAGGTCAGAGCAGAGAGGCCAAGAGAGAAGCATGGTGAGGAGCTGGGCCAGGGAAAGTGACCTCACTGGCTAAGCTTGAGTGGGCCCTGCCCCTCCTCAGACGGCCTGGGTGCGGGCCCAGAGCGGGGGCAAGCAGCAGCAACTGGCAGGGAGGGGGCTGGCAGCTCCGCCAAGCTTGTTTCTTCACCAGGAAACAAGGTTTCCTGTAACTCAGGCCCATGAATCAGCATTTCCTCTGTCAATAATACCCAGCGAGAGATACGACAGCTCAGAGCTTGGGGGAATGGAAGAAAGGAAGGAATATTCCATGACACCATGGCCTCTGCTCGCCTTTCCCTACTGATAAGTCCCAAATAGCATTCAGATTTCATAAGGTCCCTTTTCTCTGAGCAGCTCCCAGTCCCCATGAAGACTAAGTCGGACACAATCCCTGGCTTTTCTTGTCCTGTTAGGAGTCTCTGTTACTAAGAGAAGCCCGCTCTACGATTCCCCTCCTGGTGTGGAACAGAACTAGCGGCAGTGTTCTGACCTGGCAGTGATTTGCACATGTGTGTGTGACTTGCCTTTGAGTCTTGGCACGTCTGTGTCAAGGTGCTGTTAAACTAGCCCAGTAATCCCATGAAGTCCATTGGAAGTGTGCAAACCACTTCACTTGCCCAGATACCACATCAAGACAAGGAGGGCGAATGCTGTCCTGTCCGTGGTTTACAAGCAGCCTCGCCTGACCTGGATCCTCAAAATCTCCCACCCAGGAGCCTCTGCAAAGTCACAGGCGCTGCAGAAATAAGGGCATCTATAAAACACTTAATGTGTTTATCTCAAGTCTAGGTAATGATGGCAATTGAACCAATAAAATATTTAATAGACTTAATTTATAGTAGTAAAATAGTATATGTGTGTGTTTTACCTATCACTAGAAAGAATCATATTTGCTCTCTTACCCCATTTATCCTGCCAGGCTCTGTCCTAGATACGCTCAGAAGTGCAGAGAAACAGACACCGAGTCCTGCCCTCTATAAAGCTTGTGGTCTGGTTTGTGCAGGGCAGACTCTGAGTAAGAGACAAGAGGAGACCAAGCTGGAGGGATCCATGTGCTCTGTGGACCAGAGAGCGCAGGGAAGTGGGTGAGTGCACTGGGAGAGGGGTGGGGACAGTGTCTTTGAAAATGCATTTAAAAGTAGGCTCTAGCGAGGAAAACAAGGCATGCGGCGATATGAGCTCATAGGAGCAGCAGAAACAGCGTGGACGAAGGCCCTGAGACCAGTACCCATTGGTGTGTTCAAGAAGCAGAAGGTAATCAAGAATGACTGGAGTGGAGAGGGAACTGGGGAAAGCTTAAAGACACAGCGTGAGGTGGGACCCATGAGCTGACTTACAGAACCGCTAGCATCGGACTAAAATAAAAGCGTGAAAGACAGAAGAAGCCAAGAGAAGCCCCAGATGGACAACAACCACCACAAAAGCACATGGAGGAAACTTGCAGTTGGTAAGGAAGACGGGGAAGAAGAAGGAAGGGTGGGATGGAGAGAAAAGAAGAGATGTGGTAGCTATAGTCCTCTCTCTGACCCCCAAGCTGGACTTCACTCTCATCCAGTATCCAAATCCTGGAGCCCATTGCTATAGGAGCTGTCTACAAGACCAGCAGAAGGAGACCCCTCACTAGCGTCAGATTCCAGGGAGGTTCGTCTCAGCTGGGCCCCAGGACCCAGCAGATTGTCAGGGCTACAGGGCGAAAGGAAAACCTCGGTCCTATCGCAGATTTCTCAGATTGCCTATCTTTGTCTTTGGAGGACAGCCCATGACAAGCATCAGGCAAGAGGTCCCAGGAGAAGGAGGGAGCAACTGACGACGTCAGCTCTGTTTGCAAAGGCTCACTCCATAAGCCCAAGGGTTCACGGCCTTGCTTTGTACCAGACTCACCGTGGGCGTAGGGGTGGTGAGGATACGGTCTGAAGGACATGCGAGGAACAATATCTTCACGCTAGAAGCCAATGTTCCTTCACTTTTTGTTCCTTCTCTTTATTAATCCCCTGGGTTTCTCAGGCAAGCTCATATTCAGTTCAACCCCAGCCTGCCCATCCCACCTCCCTCCTACCTTGAAGAATTTTGTGAAAAAAAAAAAGTATGTTTGTGTAGCTTCTCCAAATTTAGTCTCAATGAGTGGCGCAGTTCAGCCCCTGCAAGCCTTCCGTGAGCGTCTGTTTGCTTTGCCGCACAATGTCCAGAGATCAGAGCAGACAAACTCCGGATCAGCAATGGACACTGGATGGAGAATTCCCTTGTTGTCACCAAGCAAGGAGTAAAGGAGAGAGACGCTGTCCTCCAGAGAGAGGCCTGAGAGCACCCGATCGGCCGGGAGATACGACCATGATGGAGAATGAGAAAGGTAAAGCAGCTCTTTGGCTTACATTTCTCACCCATGCATGTCTACAGACAGCCTGCTCATTCTGCCACCACCGTCACCGTTGGGGTCGACTCTGAACTTTTATTTGAAAGCAGCCTTTTATGTCAACATGATTGCTGTGAAAAAATTATATGGCGATTCTGTACACCTTTTACCCAGCTTTCCCAGATGTTAGCTTTCTGTCGAACTCTACTACAATACCGTGATCAATTATTGATGTTGGAACAGTGTTGCCCAGCGAACACCCATTGCCAAGGAATCCTTCATTACTGCTTCATTGGATCCACGCCCACTTTTCTCTTGCTCCCACCTCTTTGGAACCCTGGAAACTGTTATTCTCTTCTTTGAGTAAATTTTTTTTTTCAACTTAAAAATATAATATAAATGGGAGTAGAGCAAGAGTAACATTTTAGTACCAGTGCTATCCTTATAGGCTAATTTCTAATAAGAGATTTGTCGAAGAGCCAGAGAGATGGCTTGGCAGTAAAGGGGACTTTCTGCTTTTCCAGAGGACCAGAGTTCAGTTCTCAGCATCCACACTGCATGACCAAGAACCACCTGTAACTCCAACTCCAACTGATCCTGCATCCTCTTCTGGCCTTCTTGGACATCTGAACATCCAGGGCAGGCACTCACACGGAGACATGGACACATTCTGACACTGCTAAACACACACATACACACACACAGGGCACACTCAGTAACATGAGCAAAATATTTTTTGTGTGTGTAAAATAAAAAGGCTATAATTAATATAAGAAAAACTATATACAATAAGTATAAAGACTATATACAATATATACAGGCAATAAGGACAGCACACTGTCTAGTCTATTTGATTTTAACAAATTCAGAGAAAGTACTACATATGTATCATAACTTGATGAATTCAAAGTCTTATACCTAATTTACTTTCTTTTTTAAATTTTTTAAAACTTTATTAATAATAGGAATGAAAATTTCCACTTCCTCCCCTCCTCCCACTTCCCTCCAGCTCCCCTGTTCACTCTGCCTGCCCCTCCAGTCCTAAGAGAGGGCAGGGTACCCTGCCCTGTGGAAAGTCTAAGGCCCTCCCCGCTCTATCCAGGCCTAGGAAGGTGTGCATCCAAATAGACTAGGATCCCAAAAAGCCAGTACATGCAGTAGAGACAAATCCCAGTGCCATTATTATTGACTTCTCAGTCTGCCCCAATTGTCAGCCACATTCAGAGGGTCCAGTTTGATCCCATGCTCTTTCAGTCCCAATCCAGCTGATTTTGGTGAGCTCCCATTAGAACAGGCACACTGTCTCAGTGGGTGGATCAACCCCTCGTGGTCCTGACTTTCTTGGTCATATTCTCCCTCCTTCTGCTCTTCAACTGGACCTTGGGAGCTCAGTCCCTTGCTCCCATGTGAGTCTCTGTCTCTATCTCCATCCGTCACCAAGAAGATTCTGTCTGGATCCTCTCAGCACAGGAGCAGGGCATCTTGCCTGGCTCCAAGGACCTCACAGTCACCTGAATAAAATATTTTAAAAAATTAAAAACTCCGTTGTAAAGAGGAGATCCATCCAGAATACTAATCAGTAGCTGCTGATTATTGCTGGGTTAAATCTTGTGATTTAACCTTCAGTTTGTCCACCCTCTGAAGGGCACCTAGGCTATTTGGGACTTGGGGCTATTAGGAATTTCACAGTGTTTTCTGGAGCTACTGTGAACTTTCCTGTTTAGGGTCTCACCTGAGCACAGGTCTTCTTTTCTCGAGGATAAATACTCGGCATACACTTGTTTTGTATATGAAAGCTGTGTTTCCTTTGGCTTCATTTTCAGATTTATTTTACTGTTAATTCTGTATCTGTGCCCGTCTACACGTGGGCATATGCACATGGATGCAGGTACAGCCAGAGCCCAGAGGCATCTGACCCCTTGAAGATGGGTGCAAACCACCTGATGTGGGTGCTGAGAATCAACGCAGGTCCTCTGTGAGAGCAGTCCACACTTTTAAACACCGAGCTGCTCTCCAACCAGCGTCATTTCCTCTGGGGTTTTTGCTTGTTTGTTTTATAGTTGTTTTTTGTTCTGTTTTGTTTTTTGTTTGTTTGTTTGGTTAGTTGTTTGGTTTGGTTTGGAGATACTCTGTTTTAGTTTTTCTCTGTGTAGCTCTAGTTGTCCAAAATCTCACTATGTAGACCAGGCTGGCCTCTAACTCACAGAGATCCCTCTGCCTCTGACTCCTGAGTGCCTGGATTAAAGACATGTGTCACCACTGCCTGGCTTCATTTTCTCTGTTTTTTAAAGACACTCCTGAACTACTTTCCAAAGAAATGGTGCTGTTTTGCCTTCTCACCAACCACGAAAGGTGGTGGTAGGGGGGAGGAGCCAGTTTCCTCTGTAGACTTTGCTAAGGCTTGGTGTTGTCACTGTGTTGTTGTTGTTGTTGTTTTGGTATTCTCATGGGTGTAGAGATATGGTGCTTCCCATTTTTAACTTGGATTCCCCACTCATGGATAACACTGAAATCTCTCTTCATTGCCAGCTGTGTGTAATCTTTTCTGGAATGTCTTTACCGATTTCGTTGGTTTCATACTGTATGATTTGGAGAGGTTTGTTTTTTCCTTATTTTTATTTATTTATTTATCTGCTTATTTATTTATTTTGGTATTTTGAGACAGGGTTTCTCTGTGTAACAACTCTGACTGTCCTGGGACTCTCTTTGTAGACCAGGATGACCTTGAACTCAAAGAGATCCACCTGTCTCTGCCTCTCAAATGCGGGGATTAAAGGAGTGCGCTTTTATTAGGTTTATTTTTTTTTGAGAATTTTGTACAATGTATTTTAATGGTATTCAGTCCCTTCCCCTAGCCCCTCTTTTCCCAGATCCCCTCTCCTGACACTTCCTCCCCCCCCCCCCAATTTTGTATTATTTTGTAAAATAAACCTAACAAGACTAATTGACTAATCTGTGATGCATGTTTAATCTTAGATATGCAGCCTCCCACTGGGACATGGTTAACCCACCAGGGGCCACACTTTTAAGGAAAACTGGCTCTCCCTTTCTCCTCACAGCTATCAATTGTCAGTAGCTACTTAGCTATGGATGAGATTTCATGTTCACCTCCACTCCCGATACAGCAGTGTTTTTCTGGTTTGTTCTTGCAAGGTCTTATGCATGCTGTCACAATTGCTGTGAATACATATGCACAAGTGCCCTGATGTGTCCAGTAAACACTGTCTCCTTGTAGTCATTCACCTCCTCTGCCTTTTGCAATTATCTCCACCCTCTCTCCCACAATCATCCATGAGGCATAAGAGGAGATGTAAAGGCCGAGCACTCTGCTGTCTCCTATGCTCTGCACCTTGGCCAGTTGTGGGTCTCTGTGTTAATCAAGAAGCTTTTAATCAAGAAGCTTCTCCGATGAAGGTTTAAAGAGGCCTAGATAGAAGTATAGATATAAGACATTAGGGCTTGGTGTAATCTTCTGTCTATTTAATAGAGCAATAGCAGTGTGGTGATATTTTGCTGGTGTTTTAACAAATAAAGCTTGCTTGAAGATCAGAGTGTAGAGCTAGCCACTAGCTAGCCATAGAGGCTGGGTAGTGGTGGCACACACTTTAACTGCAGCACTCTGGAGGTAGAGGCAGAGGCAGAGGCAGATGGATCTCTGTGAATTCAAGGCCACCCTGGGCTACATACTCTTGATCCAGTCTAAAAGAGAAATCAGAGTCAGGCAGTGACGACTCACACCTTTTATCCCAGGACTTGGAAGTCACAGGCCTTTAATCCCAGCAGAGACAGGAAGGACTATGGTTGGGGAGAGAGAGGAAAACAGGGGAATGGGCGGGGAGACAGGAACTCAAGGTATTCTGTCTGAGGGTTTGTAGAGACAGGATCGCCCCTTTGGTGTGAGAATTCAGTAGAGATAAGAACAGTGGCAAGCCACACTGCTTCTCTGATCTTTCAGCATTAATCCCAATATCTGACTTCAGGTTCTTATTATTAAGGCCAATTGGAATTTGCACTACAAAATAGTAGGTTCTTCCCTAGGGGCTATGGTCTATACCTAGCAACAGGTAGGTACTCAGAGCCATGAATCAGCTGGTAGGCATGAATTCTGTCTTGGGCATGGGCTTTAACCTAATCAGAAAGTAGTTAGTTATTCCTGTAACATCCATGCCACTATTGCTCCATGGGTATTTCTTGCCAGGCTGGTCATGATGATAGTTTAAAGAGGAATGAATGGAGTTGTAAATAATTATTCTGAGAGATGTAACTCAGGGTCAGAAGGGCAAACATTTGTTCTTTCTCACATATAGGTTCTCTCTTTGAATCTTTAGATGTGTTTAAATTTTAGATTATGTTTAAATTGGAGAACCCATAGAAGGGAGGAATCTCATAAGGGTAGAGACTTCAACAGAAGGGGGAGAGAAAGCAGATGAGATGGAGAGGAAAGTGGGTGATAATGGAACAGGAGGGGTTGAGTGGTGTGGGGGCTGGAAGGCTGGGGTAGAAGGATAGAGAGGGATCTAATACTGAAACCTTTGAAAATGCCAAAGAGAAAACTATTACTTTAGACCCTTCCTAAAGTATATGCATAGACATATATAAAAAGTTTAAATAGAATCAGCCTGGAATGGGAAGGCAGTGCCTCATTCAGACACCACAGGCTGTCAAAATAAAAGCCCGGTGTTGAGTATAGATTGCCTCTTTTTGAGTTGTAGGTTAGTGGGATGCTATAGGCATTCCTCCAACATTAAAGACTATTTCCATTGGTCTTGGCCACCCTCTAGAACTTTATGGAGGTACTACCCAGTTGAGTCATAGAATATGGAGTCATCAAGATGGTATCTACCAGATGCCTCATTCCTACCTGCTACCGTTCACAGTGCTGAAAGGCTTTTTATATACTACTAGGTGAAAAAAGTCACCAGCAGTCTTACTCATCTATGAGCCGCTGGGACAGGTCCCGCAGAACCATAGCTGCATGATCTCCATGACTCGAGGCAGCAGAAGGATACTGGAGAGGAGTTTCGGTGAGGGTCCAGGATTGATGGTGTATCAGAAGCCAGAGGCCTTCAACCAGACCAGCAGCTCAGTGCAATAAACATTTGCAAATAAAGGCTATTTGGACAAAAGGGCACACTGCGTGACACACCGCAGCTCCCAATGCCACCAAGACCGAAGAAGAGGTGGTAAAGAGGCAGGAAAGACAGAGAGAGGTATTTTTTGTTTGCTTGCTTCTTAATTAATATTTTTATTTTCCTTTATTGATGGGGGGAGCTGCAAGGGTGAAGGGCAGATAAGGAGGGACTGGGAAATAAGTGGGATTAGTGTGTATGATGTGAAATGCCCAAAGAATCAATAAAAAATACGTTAAAAGATAAAGGGTCAACTTTCTCTGATATTAACCAGCCATGTGTGCTTTGAGCAGTGTTTAAATGCTCTGTCTTCTGTCCTTCTCCCTTTGCCAGCTTTGTATGTGTGGTAAATTTCTGCGGGCAGCTTACATAGATTTGTATCTATATACGTAGGTATGTTTTCACATTTCATTCATCCTTTTATTTTTCTTTAGATACCATTTCACTCTACAGTGTGGCTGACCTTGAACTCACAGAAATCCAGCTGCCTCGGCCTTCCTATTGTGTAGATTAAAGGTGTGTGCCACTATACACAACCTATAGATCCACATATTTTACTCCATTCCATCTTTTAGTTGACATACATATACATAATCATATCATTAGCATACAACAAAATTACAAATATAATAGAAGTTATCTGACATTTTCTTTTTTTTTCTATATGATCTATTTTTATTATCCTGCTTTTTCCTGACTTTTATAATGTTACGTGAACACTTTAGGAAAATTCCATTAATTTTATCCATATAGTTCTTGAGTATATCACCTAATAAACTATTTTAAACAATCAATTTTTTTAGGCTTTATAACACGTATACATGCCATGATTTAAAGTTTCCTAAAGTTTAAAAAAATCTACCTACCTTATCATCTCTTTCTCCTTCAGCATTACATATATCTCTTCTCGCTATAGTTTGGGGTAGAGTTAGGAAGCCGTATGCTTTGTGTCAATCTTCAAGCACAGATTGGAAGACTTGAAAGAAGGTCATTTGCACTTGCTGGAACTTTGACTCACTGTATTTTTCATTCTCAGTCTTGCAAGCCTTCTCATTTTTCACTCCCTTCTGTTTAAAGAGTGCCTGTTGGCATATCCTCTGAGTCTTCCTCCTGCCTCTGCCTCCCAAGTAGTAGTGGCAGCCCAGGCAGGTATCCTCCTGTCCTCGTGCTTGGCAATTTCCCTACATCTGAACATGTCTTGCTTTCCCTTCACTCTTTAAGGATGTGATGCTACGGGATGCCGGGCCCTGGGTTCACTCGCTTCTCTCTAGAACTTGGACACCGCGGGGCTGCTTTTCCTTGGCCTCTGGGGTTTCTGATGGGAAATCAGCCAGTGAGCTGCTTTCTTCCCACAGTCAAGGATCAGCTTCTCTCTGACTGCTTTCAAACGATGTCTAAGAAATTGGAGTATGGTATACCTTGGTATGAAATCGCCCAAGTTTGCTCTACCTGAAGCTGCCTCCCATCTGTGAACCTGGCTTTTGCCAAATGTGGAAGTTTTGGGATAATTTTTTGTTGACGGGGCTCATCAGAGAAAGGAGAGTGTTTTGTCCCTGCAGACCCTCAGTGGAGAACCAGGTTGTGTATTTAGACCCTGCTGACATTAAGACAGGATCTGCATTATCGCTGGGCGGGACGGAGTTCATCCCCAGGAAGATCTACACTGAAATCTCCCAGTTCACAAGTGAAGGGAGGCCTCGCTGACACCGCCAGTGTGGCCTCTTCCCAGAGAGCAGCAAAGCTCTGATGTTCCAGCTGGGAAGGATACAGAGACTCAGAGCAACCATCCAGGGTCCAACATACATCTGGTTTCAGCTTACACTATGATAGTCAGAAAGGGTGTTACATCAACCCTCGGCTCAGCGAAGATACAAATAATGGACCCCCAAAGCTGCTCTTCCTGGCACTAACCCAATGTTCAGACAAATTTGGGGGCACAGCTTGGCTTCCTGAGGAACCTGTATTTTCAATTTTAAAGTTACATTATTCATTTATTTGTTTATGAGGAGCACATGCATACAACATGGCGTGTCTGTGAAGGTCAGAGCACAGCTTGCAGGAGCAACGGTTCTCTTCTTCAACCTTCTAAGTCTTTGAGACAGAACTCAAGTCATCAGACTTGGTGGCAAGTGCCTTCACACGGTCAATCAGCTCACCACCCTGAAATCTGTGCTTTCTATGGGTTCTTTCTTGGCTTTTGCTGGCACTCGTGGAAGAAAGTCCATGGCTTTTGTGAAGTTTGGTTGAGACAGAACCGTTTCACCCAAATGTTTTTGGTTTGGTTTGTTGCCCCGTCTCCCATCTCTGATCAGAAAAACTAGATTTTTTTTTGTGGGAGAAGGCTGTGTTATTTATACTTGTTTTGTCTGTGCCCATAGGTCCTTAGGACTTTTGGTGTCTCTGGCTCCAAAACTATAGGTCAAAGAAAAGAAGAAAGAAGGGGGAGGGAGGGGAAAGAGTGAAGGGAGAAGTGAAGAAAAGAAGGGAGGGAGGGAGGAAGGAAGGAAGCAAGGAAGGAAGGTAACTGAAACAGGCAGTGATAGCCCAAACTTTAATCCCTTCATTTGGAAGGATAAGGCAAGAGTGTCATCAGACAACTGACAATTCTTCACCTCCTCAGGTCTTGAGGCCCCTAGCTAGTCTCCTTTCCTCTGCCTATCAAAGTACCCTCATACTGGCTTTGTGTTGATTCTCCAGGGTGTTTAGTTGCTCCCAAGCAGGAGGAATGAATGCAAAGAACAGTGTCTACCCATCTTTCTAGGAGCATGTATCCCGCTGACATCTGAAATGGTTTTGCAATAGCTAAACTCGGTGTTTTATCCCAGCAGACTGCGATATCAGTTCCAAAATACTGACAGATCATGCCGTTTTCATTCTTGTGACATCTTGAAACCTCTGAAACAGCATAGAGACCTGCCGTGTGATGTGTAAAGCATTCACTATCCGTCTGAAGCCTCTGAAACAGCATAGAGACCTACTGCATGATGTGTAAAGCATTCACTACCCCTCTCTGGAGCCGTCCCCTCTTCAGTATGGCTCCTCCACTCTGGGATTCCCACCTCTCTCATATTCCTTGGAAAAGCTTCTATTTCTTGTTACCTCTTCTTCCTTCTGCCACTCCATACAGCTAGACAACTCAACGTTTCATTTTTTTTTCTCCACATCTATGGACTGACGACTCAGAAAATGGAGCCGAACTTTTCGGCTTCCTTTTCAATTTTCATGAGCTGAATGATTTGTGGCCTTTCTGTGACATGGAATGCATCCTACATCCGCAGAAGCAATTTGTGAGCATGAATTGATCTCCATGGACAGGCTGTGAGTTCCTTCAGGGAGTGTTCGAGTTTCCTGTGTTGTTGACCGAAGGCAAGTTCGGAGGAAAGTATTGGTTTCAGCCTACAGGTTACGATCCATCATTGAGGGAGGTCAAAGGGCGTGAATTTGAAGCAGAAACCAGGGAAGAGTGCTGCCTTCCTCACAGGCCAGCTTATGCACATTGCTTTCTTACACAGTTGAGGGCCACCTGCCTGGGGATGCTGCAGCCCACAGTAGACTTGGTCCTCAGCATCGGTCAACAATCAAGACAATCTCACACAGACAAACGGATGAACCAATCTCATCTGGACAGTCCCTCAACTGAGACTCCTCAGGTGATCCTAGAATGTGACAAGTTGACAGTTAACACTAACTAGGACAGACATGAAGGCAGGAGTGACACTTTGACCTTCTGTATAGGCCCCGGAACAATGTATACAGAAAGAAATGTAGCTGAATAATTAACTTAAATTTTTTCCACATATTAGTTCAACCAAGAAGTTTCTTGGACTTCTCAAGTTCAGGTATTGAGAGAACTATATTTCAGCCAGGTGGTGGTGGCCCACACCTTTAATCCCAGCACTCAGGAGTCAGAGGCAGGTAGATCACTGAGAGTTTGAGGCCAGCCTGGTCTACAAGAGCTAGTTCCAGGACAGGCTCAAAGCTATAGAGAAACCCTGTCTCAAAAAAAAAATTCTAGGACTAACTCATTAAATATGGTTTCTTGACTGTTGGAGAGAAAGCATCACACTTCACCAAGCCAGGCACTATGGGAGGACAAGGTTTGGCTTTCAACACCATGCCAACTCAGAATACTGCAAGTGTTATGTAATCATGGCACATAGCAAGAGAACAAGAAATCGTCTGATTAATAGAACCAACGCCCTTTCTCACTGTTCAAATCAGTAGCGCCAATTCTTGCCGACCGTGACAAACCAAGTGAAGGCACAGTATGGAAAAGTGACTTCTATCTGTTCCCAGTTCAGCAGTTAAGTCATATGCAATAGTATCATTGCAGTTGACTTTGCAGGGAGCCACATGCAATAGTATCATTACAGTTGGATTTCCAGAAAGAGGTCTGAGCTGGGGATGACCGGCTCATCCACCATCACAAACCAGAAGGAAGGAACAGGCAAACTGGCAGAGGCAGTGATGAGAAAACATGAGAGAAAGGCAAAAGTTTTCTATCCTTGAGACTGTGAGGACCCACCTCATTCTGCTGCCCTTCCTAAATGAGCCTCTTTTCTCCATGCTATGCCTGCTGCCATATCCTTTACTACATGGACGCAGTCTATGCTTCCCTGTATCAGTGCAGTCTAAACAGAGACACCAGCATCATCTCCTTCAAGGTTACCTGGGATTGTCCCCCCATCTCTACCTTCAAATAAACATCCTTACATCCTTTGTCTCACAGGAATAACGTCCAGATGCCTCGCTTAACCCCTCTCTTTCTGCTGAGGCCCAACCATGCAGAAGCAAGATGAAGAGATCTAATATAGAACAGACCTAAAGTCAAAATTGACTCACCTCCTAATTGGTTTACGATCTTGCATGACCTTCTCAGCCTTGGTGAGCATCAGCGTCCTCTGAAGAGGGTTAGAAACATCAACTCAAAAATTGGATGAGGAAGACACGAGGCACCCAGTAAAAGGCTGGTGCTCGGTGGGTAGCGGCTACTTTTAGTCTGTTGAGACACATTGAATGTTTTCTCTCCTCCCCCTCCCCCAGTACTACTGAATTTTCTTAGGTTTAGTGGCCCTGGCAAGATTTCTAAAAGCCCCGAGCATGGAGAGGAAGCAGCTGAAGATGAAGTCCGGGGCTGAGGGAGCGTCCACACCAGCACAACCACCCTTGTTAGAAGGAAAGGCTGGCCAGAGCTTTGATTGCGACTGTGGGTCGCAGGTGAGGGTGCAGACCCTGAAGTGCGGAGCAGCCAAACCGGATCCGAATGCGTCACCGTGGGACGGTCTTCCCTGAACAACAGGACAGCACAAGCTTTCCACGACTGAGAACATGTCTCTCGCGTGGGTGAACCTCATCATACAAACGAGCTGGCTGTACCTCTATACTGGAGGAGACCTACCCAAGTGCCACCTCTGGCAAAGAAGGGACATTAGTGGGGTACAGCTCGGTTGGGATTCCCGTCAACGTATATTCACTCTGTCTCCTGGGGCTTCAGTAGGCAGTAGGCACATGCGTTATTTTAAGGGGCTCAAGGAAATGGTGTCAGGAGGCCCACTTTGTAAGTACGTTTATTATTATCTCCGCTGTTCAAGCCACACAAAATTAATGTCTGGCATTTCCAGAAATTGCTATCGATTCAGCAGCAGATTTTACAAAGCCGATCAATAACAGTTTCCTCCCGCCCTCCTCCTCCCTCACTGGATATTTATTTGTGACCAAGCTTTCGGCGGATCCTCTGCTTTCTAGTGTTTATAACTGGCATAGAATAAATGGAAGATTTCATCTTTTTCCAGGAAGGAAAAAAAAAACAAAAGAAAGAGTAAGGACCTGGCTATTAAAAATGTCTCCCTCCACCACACCAAAGCAAAGCCGTGTGCATCCGTGTGTGAATATAAGACATAGATAGCTAGGTGACAGGTGACAGAAAATAGATGTTCAGATGGGCCTGGAGATAAGTACAAGCCACAGTCATCACCATCGGCTCCTAAGTCATGGCTTCTGAGCTCTCTCAACATCCTACGCCACACCGAAGTTCCAGAAAGCCACACAGACCTTTGTGGTCACAGGTAGGTTCCTCTATTAACATTGTCTATTTTAACACCACCAACTGTCACTCAGAAATTCAATGTATTCTAGAGCTTAAGGCTTCCAGCCCACCTCCCGCCAAGGTCCAAAGAGAAAGTGGGCATCTAAAGTCACGTCTCTTGCTTCTTTGTCCCCAGTGTTCTCTTGCTATCCCAGGACTACACACGTGCCACTGGAAAGAGCAGAGCGCCACAAACAGCAGTGAGGGACTTGTGACACCACACACCCTCTCCTGCAGCTCACCACGCAAAGAAACTTGTCGCTCGTTCCCTGATGTTTGGAGTAATAACAGGGCTTATCCTTCCTACTTAGTCCTTACACGGCCCCAATTCCACTGAAGAGCTGTGCCCCGGATCCACAGTGAGGGCAGCGTGTTGCTGGGCAGCAAACGGGTGTGGGCACATGTGGGCATGGTGCCAGCCTAAGCTGCTGATCGAAGTCTGTGCCCAGAACAACACTGTTTCCCTTGTGACGGGTTGAATCGTGTTCCCTCAAACTATGCAGCGCAGTTCTGGTTCTGCTAGGACCTCAGACTAGGACCTTTTTTGGAAATCATGTCTTTTCTGGGGTAGTCAAGTTAGGATGAAGTCATCAGAGTGGGCTCTCATCAGATATGCTCAGTGTCCTTATAAAAAGAAGAAATCTGGACACCACGAGACACACAAAGAGAACATATGTAGATGAAGCAGACAGAGATCAGAATGTCTCTTCTTCGAGCCAAGGAAGGCCAGATTTTTATCAAAACACCAGAAGCTCAGAAGTTAGCCTGGGACAGATTGTCCTCAGAAGGCCCAAGTCTGTTGACATCTTGAACTTAGGCTTCTGGCCTACAGAACTACAAGAGAGAATTTCATTGTTCAAACCGCCAAGCATATGGTCTCGATATCTCATCCAGCCATGTCCTGAGCAGTGAGTATCCAGAGATCCCAGGACTAAGTCATAACTAAACTCATACCTTAGAAAGTACCCTTGGCACTCCTTCCCTAAAATACAGGAGTTAGATGAAGGCTGGAAGTGAAAGAATTTCCACGGATACGAACAGTGCGTATTTTCTCTCAGACAGGAAGCCAGCAGGCAGGGAAGAAATGAAAAAAATCATGGAAACTAAAGAGTCTACTGGGAATGGCAGGGAGGGGTAGCAAGGAAAGCAAAAAAAAAGCAGATGCCCAGCACTACCTGTGAGAAAGGTTAAGAGTTGAATGTGCAGAAATCCCATTGTGTCTTAGCCACTGTCCTACTGTTATGAAGAGATACCACAACCAAGACAATTCTTGTCAAAGAAAGCATTTAATTGAGGCTTACTTCCTGTTTCAGAGGTTTGGTCTATTACCATCAAGGCAGGGAGCATGGAGGCACTCAGGCAGGCAGACATGGTGCCAGAGAAGGAGCAGAGCATTCTACATCCAGTTCCACAGGCAGCAGGAAGAAAAACACTCAACTTGGCCTGGGCTTTAAAAACCTCAGTAATACACTTCCTCCAACGAGACCACACCTCCTAATCCTTTCAAATAGTGCCACTCCCTGGTGACCAAGTATTCAAACATCTGAGCCTAGAGAGGGGCCATTCTTAGCCAATTCACCACATATTGTATGTGCAGAATGTCAGTTGTAATAAAATCACTTACACATGTAGAATACATTCTACAAGTATTAAGCATGACAATAATTTTAAGTGAGGATGTGGATACAAATGCAGAGAACATACCCCAATTTCTCAGACAAAAGAAACTTCTTTTCAACTGTGGAGGAAGAAAAATATTGCCCAAACTAGATCAAATCAGTTATCTATGTGGCAAAGCATAAATCAAGGTACAATTTGTTCTGTGATGCGATAAAGTTCGCTTACTTTCCACCAAAGCAGAATACTAAGGAAAAATCACTGTGTCCTCCCAAATAGGATAAGACCTATTTCATGAGTCTCATTGAGTGAACAGAATACCATATTTGCTACTCTGCCTCAGTACTGGAAAAGACCATGTGACTAGTTCTAGCCAAAAGATAGAAGTAGATGTGACATCAAACAAAGCCCAGAAAAGTGGATGTGATGGCTTGGAAGACGGACGCAGAATTGAAGAACTGCCTTCATCAGATTGACTGTAGATGTGTCTAGGGGGCATTTTCTTAATGACTAGTGGATGTAAGAGGGCCCAGCCCATGGAGGGCAGAACAGCCTTCAGGCGCGTGAGCCTGGGCTACACAAGAAAGGTAGCTGAAGAGGAACCTGGAAACAAGCCAGTAAGCAGCCTTCCTCCATGGTTTCTGCCTCCGATTCTGGCCTTGAGTTTCTGCTTTGGCTTCCTTCAACAGTGGACTGTAACCGATTAAAGGAAATAAGCCACTTGCTTCTCAGGTTACTTTTGGACGAGGTGTGTTTGTCACAGCAGCCGAAAGCTAACTAGAACGGGCATCCTTTGTTGTGCAGGCCCTAGGAGCTAGGTGCTGAGAACTGGAGGTGCCAGTTAAAGTAGACATTGTTGCTAGTTGAAGGGGGGCTACCTTGGAGAGCTGTGTAGTTCCCAGGGAAATTTCTGTAAGAAATTCTCCGATAATTCAGAACAATCTAACCTAGCACTCTAGTCCAGTGGTTCTCCATCTTCCTAATGCTGCAATCCTTTAATACAGTTCCTCACACTGTGGTGACCCCTCAACCATTGAATTATTTTTGTTGCTTCTTCATAACTGTAATTTTGCTACTGTTATCAATCGTAATGTAAATATCTGTGCTTCCCTACCGTCATAGGCAACCCACAGGCTGAGAACCACTGCTCCAGCCTAGGCCAACCTAATGGTTTCTTACTGCTGGAGCCATGTTTAATTGGTTTGATCTTTAAATGCCAATAAGCCATTTGGAGACTAGTAAGTTGAAATCTCCTCTGTGCATAGTCATTGGCAGAGCCACGCAGTGTAACTTATGTCCACCCAATCCACTTTGGACCCCAAGATAAGGGCCATGGCTTATCCATGGTCCTAAACGGTCTCCAGGGACAGATTGGAAAAGGTGTTCTTTCTACTTTTTGGTACAACTGTTACTGCTAGAAATCTCTTTCCTTGGGCCTCCTAAAAACAGCCTTTCTGTTGCTTACACCTATTAACCTTCTCAGTTCGACCCTCCGGAGCTCTGAAACAACAAAAGACAAATCCGACCTTCCCCTAAACTTCTCCAGGCTACTTTGATCACAGTTCTTTCCAGAAGCCTCATCAGTCAAGCCATCTCTAACAAATCAAATCTCACCAGAAGGTGCCAAAGCGTTGTCCCAATTGTTTCATTGTGTGAGGATTCTATGGTGTAAAAAAAATATTTCAAGCGAACAGAATTCCACGCCTGGCGCCCAACACCATTGTAGAAAGGTTTGCTTTGCGGCAATCTCCCTTTCCTCCAGGTTTAACTTCTTCATTGTGCTGCTAAGTGCTTTGCCCATGAGTGCAGGGTAAAAAGTTTTCCACCACTCTGACCTCAAAGAGAGAAGCCGGTGTCTGAGGGGCCGGCAAACAGACTGTGATTGCCGCATGAGGAGCTCTTTGCACAGGCTAATGGGCCGTCTAACCTCTGCCCACAGCCGTCCCCTGTAGGGTCTTCTAAATAGATTGCCAAGGAGTTGTTGATTTGGCGAATCGATTCACGAGGTTTTCTGGACTACTCATTTCTGTGAAGGATTGTTAGGGACTTTAACAACACATGCATGTGCTAGCACCTGGTGGGGCATTCCTTAAGGGAAACAAGAGACCTGGGGGGCGCAACACTAATGCAGACAAATCTATTCTCTCTTCCTAATAGTTGGTCCCCTTCATGTTTTAGCTGGAAAACTGTTAAGATGTGTACATACCGAGGCTTCTGAGGCTTCAAGTCTCCATCTATCATTATAGCTCTAGCAGGAGAAATAACGTAAAATTTTACTTTGCACAGCTAAAGCAATCAAATCAACAGAAAGGTTAAAAAAATAAAAAAAATTAAGCTTAATATAATAAAATTGTTTATTTAAATTAGGCCATCTGGTACTGGCTTGACTACAGAAATACATTTATGTATTCTTGTGGGAGTATAAATTGAGGCAATTTTTCTGAAAGGCAATTTGAAAAATACTAGCAAAAGCGTTCAAAGTAGGCATACCCTTTGACCCACACCCAGTGATTTTACTCCTAGGAGCTTTTTTTTAAGGTGACGATAATGTTGTATGTATAAAGATTTTTTCACAATGATGATTATTGAAACATTATAACAGCAGCAAGTAGAATAAGACAAATAGCCAACAAGCCGAATGGCTTTAAACTGTTATATTATTATTCCATACAATGTTATGTTAGAGAGGCGATAGGAATTATGTTACTGAAGAATTGTTACTATGAAAAAATAGCCATAGCGTGATGCTGAGTATTAAATAGGAAGCTTCAAAACGGTATTTGTAGGATGCCCATTTTGGGAACACCGTACAAACATAGACTAAAGACACGAAAATTCAACAGTGATTTTCTCTGGAAATCAGGCTTTTCAGTGACTTTTCTCTCCATCATCAGTCTCTTCTGAACTCTTCTAAGAATTTTCTAATAAGCATATAACACACTTGTGTAGAAAATGTCAAAAGCAGACTTAAACTCATGTGTAAAAGTTTCAGTTTCTCAGTGTTTTGCTGTTACTAAGAAAATGAGCCCATCTCTCCCACTGGCTTTGAGTGAAGGGCTAAGCTAATCAAAAACTTTGCCTTTGACTTTTCTAGCTGTTATTGGGCCAAACTGCTCTTTAAGAAAGCTTGACAACTAATGAACAGTTCCAAAATTAGCCCAGAAGCTCTGCTCGGTTCTCTTTGAAATAAAGAGGTCTGTGGAGTTGGAAAAGCGGTAGCATCTGATAGAGGGCCAGACGGTTGCATGAGATCAGCAAGTGCATGAGATCAGCAAGTGGTCCCTAGGCCACTGGAGCAGGTCTCTTGGTGCTGCTTAGACCACAGCTCCAGACTGGAAAGCTCTGGGTTCACAGATAACTGAAAAACAAGTGATACGAAAGATCAATGTGTATTATTTAATTCTTCCCTTTATTTTTGGAGAATATTTTACAATTATAGCACTTCCTTCTTCCGTTTCTTCCCTCCAACCCCTCCCAATATACCTCTCTTTGCTCACTTTCAAATTCACAGACTCTTTTTCTGTTTGTTGTTACATATGATGTGTGCATGCATTCATGTGTGTACCTACATACATAAGTACAACTTGCTCAGTATGGATAATGTTATGTGCATTTTTTTCGGGGATGAACATTTGGAGTTGAATAACCAATTGGAGTGCTCGTCCCAGAGAACAATTATTTCTCCCACTCTCAGTGTTCCTTACTTGTCTGTAGATCTTGTGTAACACTGAGACCTTGTGAATTTTCCCTCATCCATGTTTGCATGTCTTTTTCTGTTGTCTTGCTCAACTCATGTATAGGCAGTTATGTTAGTGAGACTTATGGATATAGCTTCTGACATTTCTATGAAACACAACCAAACAGCAATCTCCCTGTTCCTCTGGCTTTAATGATCTTTCTGCTCTTCTCTGTAGAGATTCTTGAGCCTTAGGTGTAGGGGTTGTATTGTAAACATATCTTTTGGAACTGGCCTCCACAACTCTGCATTTTGATTGGTTGTGGTTTTCTTAATGGCCTCCATCTGATGCAAGAGAAATAATTACAAGCTTCCAAAAGAAGGAAGCAAAAAACAATCTCACACAGCTATGAATTCGATGAGTCACAACGATCAGTGTGGCACAATAACGTGCAGAATGCAGTAGTGGCACACATACCTTGGCAGCAACCAACAACTCTCTAATTGAACTTAAGACCTGCTCAACATGCCTACTAGAAACCTAACCAACTACCCAGAGTTAATGAAGTCAACCAATCTTATAGGAGGACCTAAAACTACCTCTCTCTCTCTCTCTCTCTCTCTCTCTCTCTCTCTCTCTCTGGATTTTTTGAGGGTTTTTTTTAAACAAGGTTTATCTCTGTAAACACCACAACTACCTTAAAATTACCAATTTTTAAAATCAGCATAATCCCTAACTACATTCTAAGAATTTGTCCACAGATAAATGGAGTCTTCACCATTTACTTCATCAAGTAAATTTCTCAACATATATTTATCTTAATTATTACCAAGGGCAATCTTACTGCTGTACATTATGTAGCTCTGAGTCATCTCTAACCTCTAGCCTCGATCTTCAATAACCAATAACCAATTTTAATACATAAATTTGGTGTCTAACATCTTAGTACTATATATACACATATATAAATGTATATAAAATATAGTCTGTATTATTGAATACATGATAGTGTGCTTGTGCAGACTTTATGACATAACAATGTTATTCTCATGAAGACAGTAAGCATTTTCCTTAACCTTTACCATAATTAATTAAGTAACTAGAATGACATAATAATGATGCCTTTACAGATTAGATTATAATAAGCTGTGCACTTTAGGGGCAGGTGTTTTAGAGTGGGGAATTAAAAAAAACATTTTATTACATTTCTGATTTATGTGATCACTTCTAATTTGTATATTATACTTATTCTAGTATTGTCTTTTGTAGCTCATTTTTCCAAAAATACACCCATGCGCCTAAATATCAAGAATGTTATAACATATATTTAATTTAGGAAAATATTTACCAACATTACTGAGACATTCAGTAGTCCGTTTTTGACATAACAGCCCAAAGTAGCCAGTTTTCTTGACCTTTTCCTGGTTATTTGTTGTATATGTAAAATCAAACACCTGTGTACAAACGAAACAAGTCATGAATGCACAACTCAACACCTGAGTGTCAGTCTAATGCCTGTGTCAGACCTACTCAGTTAAAAATTAGTGCAGCCTGCACTCCAAAAGGTTCTTACGCCCCATCCCAGTCACACGCCTTTTCTCTGTAGGGGTCTGGCAAGCCCTGATGTCACCGTTGCCATTTACTGGAAACGCTTTACGGTTTCCCCTAAGCATAGATTTCCGAACAGCATGGTTGCATGTGTTTATTTTTGAACTTTATATAAATGGACTCAGAGGGAGAAAAAGTTGTCATGATAATGGATACTTTTTGTCAAGTGCAAAGTACACCCAGCTAAAGACCATGACTATCAGTGATTTTATTGCATGAAAATGGATTTTAACCCTTCAGAGCCAGCAGCTAGCATCACAGGTTTGAAGCTATTCTCAGTCAAGTCTAGATCATCTCATGCTCTCGGGTGGTAAGCGCCAGCTGCCGCTCGGGGGTCCAGTGGGCTGTTGGTAACTTCTTATGCCACCTGGATGGAAAAGTACTCACCTAAGGCTGAGGGGTCCACACTAGCAGGCTTCCCTCTCCTTTGTGAATTCCCCAGCTATTATCAAAGCTCTAAGGTCAGATCTAGTTAATGGTTGGCTAGAAATCGATACACACAGAGCGATGGTTTCTGATAAAAGTGCGTAATAAGCAGGTTCAAGCTCAACAAACTAACTGTCCTTTTGCTCATAGATGTTGAAAAGCAGTTGCTGGCCAGCTCTCTAGTTGGAAAAATATAGCCCCACTCCACTACCTCAAGAACTAATTTGCGTTTTAACGAGGTGCTCTCTTTGTCCAGTCTATCCTGTACTTGGGCTTTAGCTCTTCAAAGGCCACTCAAATATTTTTCTTTCCTTTCTGCTAATTCTAAGGGAAAGTGTCAACTTACTTTCTGGAGGCACAAGACCTGGGGTTCTGAAACAAAACTGTCCCTCTTTGATGTTGGCAGCTACCTTGTGAACTGATCCATGGAGCTCCCGGCGCCCAAGGCTCAGGAGTGCTGTGGGTTTCCCAGCTGGCAAATGACCAATGCTTACCATTCCTCCTGTGCAACCACCCATGTGTGTATCTACAAGCGTGTGTGTGTGTGTGTGTGTGTGTGTGTGTGTGTGTGTGTGTGAATGGGTGGGTGTGTTCACGCATGTGTTAACATAATGTTTGGCTCATTCCTCAGGCAGGCTGTAGCAATAACAGTAAGAATGCCTTTCATATAGTTAATGGGTAAACAAGCGAACGCATGACCAACGATTCACCTGGTTCAGTACCCTAGCATCCCTCCTCTTCTTGCAGCTGAGGCCACCTGAATGCAGACCGAATATTTTGTCACTTCTCAGGCTAAACAAGACTTCTTTGAACAGAATATCAGAGGCTATGGTCTAGGCCCCCAAACAATGCAGCATTTTTATGTATCTGATTTTTGCTCCCAGGAAAATGCTGAGCACAGATTTGAATTTCTGTTTGGTTCTTCTCCTGTATGTATTTCTGTTGGCAGATCTGGAACAATTTCTACTCATTTTGAGGCTCCTGCTGATGGGATTTACTTTTATAAAACTGGGTATCGCCTACTTTAGGACCCCACTTCTTGATTCCCCCCCCCCTTGACGCTCTGATGCCACCAGAGTCCAGATGTGATGTTCTCCCATCACTACGGAGTGCCTGTCTTTCCCTGGTCCTTGCTGATCCCCACAAGATCCCCTTGCCACATCTGTTGCAAGATTTTCCCCGTCCACTAGCAGCTAGGGCTGCCCCTAGGTTACAGCGATTGGCCTCCCTGATCTGTAGCTCCACTGTTTTCTTGATTAACCTTCCTTTTACTTGTAGAAAAGTCTTTTGATTTCCAAAGTGAGAATAGCAATAAACTTCAACAGGAGACTTTCAAAGAAGAAAATAAACAGAAAATGATCATAAACTTTAGTTAAAACCAGGGCAAATAGAGAGACAGAAAATTCTCACGGACAGGAAAATTCAGTTCAATTAAGATAATAGCTGTTTTGTTTTTTTTTAATTTTGGTTTATTTCGAAACAGGGTCATGACCTCTATCTCCTGATAGCCTGGAGTTCACTAAGAAGCCTAGGCTGACCTCAAACACAATATTCCTAACTCTACCTCCAGGGTTCTGGGGTTATATGTGTAAGCCACCACTAGGCTAAAATGCAATCCTTATAAGTTTTCATATAATTATAGGTAATTAAGAATGTTTTAACAAAAAAGGCATAATTTTTTTTTATTAATGAAGAAGGTGGTTCTAAGGTCTATGTGTAAAAACAAGGGCGTTAGGATAACCGAGACAAAACATAAAGAGTGAGGTTGGAGGAGCCACCTTTGCGACTTCATAGTGTTCTGCAAGGTACTCAGACAGTGCTGTGTTAGAAAATAGATGAGCACAGGGGTCACTGAAAAGGAGCACACAGCCCAGACATAGACGTACATGCGTATAACCAAAAATTTAAAAATTAAAAAATCTGTGTTGTAAGAACCGGATTTCTCCATACAAATGCATGAACCACTTTGCATCACATCCCGTGAACACTAACTCAGAATGGTCTGTCGTGCAGAGGCGTTTGATACTGGAGAGAAAACACAATGTGTAGAAGACTGAAATGTTCATCCAAACTAAATAAACTAAATTCATTTCTCTATGAATCCTTCTGTTCAGAGAAAAAAAAGCAAGGTAAAGAATGGGGACCATTGACAACCATGTCTAAGAAGGCATTTCTGTCTCTACATAAATAACGCACAGAACTTAAGGGTAAATAATTCTTCCAATTTTTTTTTAAAAAAATGCACCTATGCTATGAATAAGTGTTTCATCTTTGAGGATGCATGGACGGAAAGAGAGTATATAAGATGCTCAACATTGGGAAATGAAAGCAAAACACACCACGCTTGCTGCATTCCTCTCTGAGTGAATCACTAATATGAAAGCATTTCTAAAAGCTAACAATAGCAAGTGCTAAGAAGTGTCCAATATAGCCTTCACTAAAAGGGCACAGTCTGACGGGTTCGCACAAAATGAAAATCCCCTTGCCACAGGACTAGCAAAGTATGTGCTGATATAAAAACCTACATCCAGGTATGATAGGAGTTCTGATCATAGTGCCCTTGAGAGAAAACACCTTGAATCTCCTTAAAGAGAAGAATAAACAGATAACCGAGGGCTAGGGACAAAGCTCGGCAGCATTGCATGAGCCTATTTCCATAACCCTCTGGAAAGGGGAAATAGAGCCGCAGAGAACTCCGTAAGTGCAAGGCAGGATCAGACGGTCATGTGACTCTAACAGGTAGCACAAGGTGGATTTGACGTGATGACCATCCATTCTGACTGCTGTGGTGTTCACACAAACCTTCATCTTACTAAAACTCAGAAAACTGGACTCCACTCTATATCAATTTAAGAATAAAACTTAAGAAGTCACCATACTCCAGGTATGTTTTTCCTATCTAGCCTGGTATTGATAAAATTGTATTGCACAACATGGAACCCATTCTAATTTTACAATACGGATTTTTAATACAATTAAATCTGTGTCTGCATATCAAGCTTCAGGGTTGGCTCATGCTACACTGAATTGATATGAAACATGTATCAAGCATTGAATGTGATAGGGCATTCCTATCTAGCCTTATATTGATAGACTCACTCTGTATTACACAACGTGGAATCCATTCTAATATTGCAGTGCTTCCTCTCAATGTAATCTGTGTCTGCATATCAAGTTTAAGGGTTGACTCATGCTACTCTGAATCGATATAAAATGTATCAAGTGTTGAATATGGCTGGGCATTAGGGTTGATTATGACTTTTAGTATTAGGAATAATGTAATAATCATTCGTATAGGGAAATATATACATAAATCTTTAAACTTCAAAGATGTTTAACAGTGGCCTTGCTGGTCCAGAGGTTTTCCTTCAGTTTTCTTCCTTTTTTCTCCCTTGCCAGCGTCTCTGTGTCTGTCTGAATTGGTTTCAAGAATGACAGCAATAGACTGTGTTATAGGATTAAAATATATGTATATGCAAATTGCTAAATATTCATAGACCTGCTTTTGAAAGGGCAGGGTATTTTTTAAAGTCTTGATATATCAAGACTTGATATCAAGATATCCTTTAGAAAAAAATGGTGTTGAATTCCATTTCCAGAAGACAGGGAGCACCCAGCTCCCCAAAGCCTCCTTGCCCAGTTGTTGCTATTACATGATGCAATTCGAGTTACAGTTTCTTTGAAATCCTTCCCCTTCAAAGCATGAGGAATTATCTTTGAGAAACAAAGTAACTCTCAGGGCCTTATAAATGACAAGACACAGGATGGGCTGCATAGTTATATTTACTTGCTGGTTAAAACAAACAGATACCCTAGAGTTTTCTTGGGTACTGGGTTTTCCCACTTAGAGCTAAACTCTTTTGAGTTATTGATTTTTGAAGCAATAATCATGAAGGCAACACTGTAGGAGTGATCCCCAATTATTTCAAATCAACCCCACCAAAAAGTCATACCAAAGCATTTGTTTAGACTTTTATATTTCATATGTGATAACTCTTTAATCTAGACCATAAAGAATAATAAAGGTTGACTTCTTTTATAGTTTAGGATAGAAAATAAGTATGAGTAGACGTTCTAGAATTTTCTTCCCACTCTCCAAAAGATAGTGTTTTACATCACATCAATGGAGATGCACTGCAGACTGCTGTCCCGAAGGAGGGTCCCTTCTGTGCTGAACAGGACCGGATATCACATCTCCTGCTTTCAAGAGCTCAAAGAAACCTAGGAAAAGGGGAAAGAGAGCATCTATACTGGAGGTGGGAGAGCAAAGGGGGTGACTTAGTCTAGGGACAAGAAGACCCTGGACAAGATCATGGTGAATAAAAAGAAAGTTGAATTCTGTGCCCTAGGGAGCCTCTCTCCTGCCCCCCAGATCTTTCCAGGTGCAACAGCGTCACAGGATGTCGGGGCTGAGAGGCCAACTGGGGGACACCTGCCATGTGTGACTGTTGGTGGGTTTTGCTTTTGTCTTTTTTTTTTTCTTGTTTGTTTCATGTGTATTGTTCCCTCCTGCCTTTGGGACATCATGACACACATTTCTGCTTCAGCAAGTACGTTACCACAGCAAAGGACAAGACACTCCTCTAGTAGGAAAGGCTGAACTTCATTAACTCAACCCTGGAGCAGTTGGGGAATACAAAAATATCACCCAAATATATATATATATTTTTTTGAGACAGGGTTTCGCTGTCATTTTGGAACCTGTCCTGGACCTAGCTCTTGTAGACCAGGCTGGCCTCGAACTCACAGAGATCCATCTGCCTCTGCCTTTCGAGTGCTGGGATTAAAGGTGTGTGCAACACCACCTGGCCTATTCAAATATTATCAATCAACCCTGCAATAATGCTAATAATGATGGTGTCTCATAATGCTGTTATTGGTGTGTATGTATGTGTCTCTCTGTGTGCTGATACTGTTGCTATTATTGCTGTTGTTTTGAGGCAGGGTCTCACTATGTAACACTTCACGGCCTGGAGTGCCCCATGTAAAGCCTTAAACTCACAGAGATTCACTTGCCTCTGCTCACTGACTACTAAGGGGAGAGACCCCACACCAGTGATCTGTTACTTTATATATATGAATTCCACTTTCCAGAGAATGGCAACTGTTCTCCCAGAACTTTTTACCTTTCCCTGACTCTAAGGTTCCCAATAATGTCTGGTTTTGGGTTTTGGTTTTGTTTCTTTTCACTGTAGGATTTCCTTTTACTAAAGAAGTTGACCTTGCCCCTACCCATTTTAGGGGAATTGCTCAAGTTCCAGGTCAGCGAGGGCTACAGACGCAAATCTAACCCCATAAAACGTCCAAGGGGGGAGGTGCTTCTGGATGCTTTTGTAATTATTATGTGCAGACAAATAGAAGTGCTTTGGAAAACTTGAACACCGTATCTATATAAAGGTTATCACTGCGACAATGTACATTGATGTTGTTCATGAATATATTGAATATATATATATATATTATATACACAATCCAAATTACTTATCTTTTTTAAAATATGAGGGTTTTCCTACATTATATACCATAGACTGGCTTTAAACTCAATCCTTCGGGGCTGGAGAGATGGCTCAGTGGTTAAGAGCACCGACTGCTCTTCCAGAGGACCCAAGTTCAATTCCCAGCACCCACATGGCAGCTTACAACTGTCTGTAATTCCTGTTCCAGGGAATCCAACATCTCACACAGACATACATACAGACAAAACACTAATGTACATAAAATACAAATAAATAAATTATAAAAAAAATAAATAAAAAAAAATAAATAAACTCAATCCTTCTTCAGTCTCTCTGGTGTTCACATAGGTCACCATCCTATCTCAATGCATTATACATGGATGGAATTATCAAGGAACCAACTTCATTACTAAAAAGGGAGCTGGAGAGCTGGCTCAACGCTGAAGAATGTTTGCTTCATGCATTTGAAGAGGACTGGAATCTCATGCTAATAATTATGGTACTCAAGTTGTGTGGCTCACGGCTTCTTGGAACTCCGGCTGCAGAGAATGCAGCAGCACCTTCCGGTGTCCACAAGCATCTATATTCATGTCCAAAGGACACTCTTTCTGCTCCCTCTTCTGCAGGTTCCCTGAGCCCTGAGGGGGGATCTAACGGAGACATAGTTATTAGGGTTCAGTGTTCCAAGGGCTCTCACTCTGCATACTGTCTGGCCTTGAGCTCCTGAGTCTTTTCCCATTAGTTGCCAGAGAAAACTTCTTCGATGATGGCTGAGCAAGGCACTGATCATATCTGGCTTTCTGGTTCTGGGTTACCTCACTTGGGATGACTCTTTCTTGTTTTTTTTTTCCATTTTCCATCTGATAGAAGACTAACATCCAAAATATATAAAGAACTCAAAGCACTAGA